TCCCTTGAAATTATTAATTAAATGAGGATAATATGGTAAATTCATATTTTTTTTCATATTTAAAAAAAAGAAAAAGAAAAATCAGGTAATTGATCTTATTTTTATGGAACACAAATATCCATTATCTTTTTTATTTCTAAAATAAATTTAAATTTTTTTTAAAAAAGCCTCTGAGCACGTGCGGAGATGCTAGTATTTTGAAAACTGAAGTAAAATTACAAAGAGGATTCTCTGGATCCTAATATCATACAAAACAACTTTTATTTATTTATGTTTGATATGTACACATATATATGTTTGATGTACATATATATATGTATGAGTTATGGATGGAGTTCAAAAACAAAGCTTTTGAAAGAAGAAATCAAATTTACGGGGACAGTAGGCTTAAACCAAAATGTCGGTCTCTTTACTCTCCACTGCTTTTACACTGGAAGTATAAGTATATCCACGAGCACAGGACCAAAAATACGCAAAATTCAGCACCCCAAGCGCAGCTATAAGGATGAAGAAATAGTCCAGTCTGCCGGCATTGATATCATTGTCCAACCAGTTGGGCTCCCCATGCTTCCCTGTAACACTGTACACAATGCTCACCATCAAGGTACTCAAATAAGTAGCCCCAGAAATGCAAAGATAGATCAGAGAATTCCCAATGCTCCTCATCTTCTCAGGAAACTCCTTGTTGTACAATTCAATGTGCCCAACAAAGCCAAACAACTCAACCATGCCAAGGAACATTAGCTGTGGAAATAGCCAGAAAACTGACATGGGCGCAACGCCATCTTCTGAAGCTTGTGACAAAGCAGAAGCTCTCCTTTGCCTCTCAACAACCACCGCGAACAGAATCGAGAACAAATACCCGAGTCCTATTCTTTGGAGAGTTGTGATGCCGTTTTCATGCTTGGTGATCTTTCTGAGGGCTGGTTGAAGGACACGGTTGTACAATGGGATGCCCACGCATAATGTGATCAATGACATGACTTTGATTGACCCAGCAGGCATTTCGAAATTGGGTCCAATATGCCTGTCCATTTTGAGGGCTTGTGACACTACAAATGTTCCTTCTTGTGCAGAGGTCATGAAGCAGATGCCACCAGAAGCCCATATTGGGAGGATTTTCATGAAGCATATCACCTCTTCAACCTGTTGAATGCTGCACAGCCTCCATGGATTTGCGCAAGACCCATCATCTTTTAGGTCATCGTCCACTACTAAAGCTGCTTTCTTCAAGGAGCTGAGCCACCAAAGTAGTGCCAAATGAGAACTAGTAAAAGAACAAGCAAGCAATGTAAGACAAAATGAACCCATCAAGCTTTACCTGAATTTTGTAGTGAGAGAGTGCTTGGAGAGCACCACATTTCCATCCGATGAAACATCCAAGAAAACCCCGCAAACCCTTTCGTCGTTGTGAAGCTTAAGATGGCGCTTCTTGTAGGCAGCAACAAGAACTTGTGCAAAGCTGATAAATGTGGTTCCTTCTGGCTTCACATGGTGGTAAATTTTGGAGCCAGCCAAAAACAGGGGAATTACAGATAACATGAGGAGGGTGGGGATCCCAAAACCCAAGGCCCAGCTAACAGAGTCTTGAATGTAGACCACTAGGGTTTGGTTGATCAACATTATCACTGTGGATGAAGCATAGTACCAATTCAAAAAGCTATGGACTGATTTTCTTCCTTCCACAGTGGTTGAGTCAAATTGGTCAACGCTAAAGGGAGTGCTGCAGGGCGCTATTCCACCTGTGCCTATGGCTAGCAAAGATAGCCCAGCAAGCAAGAAACCTAGTTGGGTTTTTGTGTTGGAGACACATTGTACAAGATGTTTTTGACCATCAAGGATGCAAGGCGGCGGTCTTAATTGTGGCACAAAGGCTGTCATAGTTATTGTTACCATTCCCTAATACACATGATATATCATAATTAGGACCCAATTAAGCTAATTAATCATGATTAATTAATGTGAGTAGGGATGGCAAGTTTCCCCCTGGCTGTTAGGTCTTCGCGAGGATTTGACCCTATTGCGACTGGTATGAAGGACCAAAAAAGGGTATGAGGATGGGGATTTTTTTGGATATAGTGCTTGGGGAGGGGCGGGGATGGTATTTTAATCCCCCACCCAAACCCTCCCCATTTAGAATATGTATACATACATATATATATATATATATCATAGTATATATCAATGTGCAATTAAAGTGATTGCACCAACTAAGTTTTATATTATTATATTATATACTTATATAATTTATACAAATCTTAAGCGACACTACTTATTTATAACTTCCAATACATATATAAACATTCTTATATTATCTTATAAGTATATATTATATATATTCATTATCTTGCCTTAGTATTTTTTTTTTCTTCAGCAAAATAGTTATATATTGGTTTTTTTTTTTCCGTAATGGGGTGGGTCGAGGAACCCATTTCACAATGAAGGTGGGGATGGGGAATACCCGATATGAATATTGCGGGTATGAAGGCAAGGATGGGGGAAAAAGCTTAACGGGGATGTGGATGAGAATGACATACCCACCCTCGATTCGACCCATTGCCATCCCTAGTGAGATAGATGTTGATTAATTGTTTACCAGAAGACTTGCAAGGGAAGCCAGAGCAATGGTGAGAAATTTGCCAAGATAGATATCAGCAACTGAGGCACCAACGACTGTCAATAAACAGTAGAGGCCTGTCCAAATGTTGAGAATATTGGCAGCAGAAACCTGATCCATGTGATACTCCCTCACCAAATACACCATAAAATTTGTTTGCAACCCATATGTTGCCATCTTTATAATTGATTCATTACCTGCAAAACCAAAAAAACAAAAAAACAAAAAAAAAAACAAAAAAAACAAAAAAAATACATGTCTCAATTTATAAAACTTTTCAATTTTCTTGAATTCCAAGCACATATATAATATTTTATCACTTATATGAAGGAAATTGAGTTTCCACCCCAAAACCAATTGGCAATGGGGGGAGTGACCCAACTCCTCATAAGTCCTTGCAAGGTTTTCCTCCTTCCCAAATCGCTCATATTATAATTTATATGAAAATATATAGCATCATACATAATATATCAATAAGTACCTAAGATGTAAGGTACGGCTTTCCATCCATTCTTTCTTCTTTGGACTCTGATGGCATCCTTTTGTTGCAACAATGGCTCTGAGGATGGAGACTTATGGGAAGGCATTGATTTGCGTTTGCTGAAGCAGGAGGACAAGAAAGAGCTGCTTTTACCCCCCGCCATTTTTCTCTCTGTCATGTTTGGACTCTGATAGAGTTCTCTTTCGTATTTATATATCCACATCTTCATGATTCATTCAACCAACTCTCTCTCTCTCTCTCTCTCTCTCAAAAAAGAAAAAAACAAAAACAAAAACAAAAACAAAAAAACAAAACAAAAAAAAAACTCCCCTCAACAAAATTCCCATTTTTATCCAAAGTGATGGATCGAGCATAGATACGCCATGTTTCAGTGTATCAAACAATTGTACTATCAAATCCAACTGATCGAATTTATACTATTTATGTTTTAAAGCATTCAAAATTTACCAAGTTTGTTTCGAAGATACTTAGCCCAAATATTAGCAATAACATTAGTCAACCTCTATTATTGTAGTATCAGCCTGGATTTCTTGCGAGATTTTTTTCTTTTCTATATATGTAAATGGCATCGAAATAAATTTCAAATTGTAGATATCATATGCTGTGATACTAATTTATTTTTCATTTCATATTTGATCCCCACTTCCTTTTTGGCAGACCCTGTAATGGGGGATGATTCTATTTGAATTCAAGTAAGCCGCTGAGATCAACTAGCATTTGATCTAATGAAGTTCTTATTATTCTAGTGATGTTTCAAAATATTGAAAGTCGTTCTGTATTCGATTTTCCATTTCTCTATTGGAAGAAAGAAAAAAAAAAAAGGTTGTTGATGGACAAATTTTAGATTAGTCTATCAAGGTAGTGTGACTTGCCCTTTAATCCGAGTTTAATCCCTCGAAAATTCAATTTGGTCACTGACAAAAAATTTTAGGACAAACTACATAAAACCCCCCAACTTATAGGGACATTTACCAGTTCATACTCGATTTTAGGGACATTTATTAGTACATATTCAACGTCAAGGAAACCCTACAAATTGCCCCATTCGTTAGTGAGATCGTTAGTGAATCTGTTAAATGCTGACGTGGAGAATATGAGTTCCATTTTTTTAATGACATGGATTCCAAGTGGACAAAAAGTTAATAACAAATTATTTTATTGTTTAAATTATTTATTATTGTTAAATTAATTCAAAATTTAAAAAGAGAAAATTAAAATAAATAAATAAAAATCTAGCAAAACCCAGCAGCCACCCCTCCCCCACCCCCAAACCGAGCAGCCCCCTA